CCAGGTGCCTCCAGCAGGTGGCGCAGGAGGCGACGAGGTACCAGTTGGAGATGACGCACAGATGGTGGAGGCGCGCGCAAGAGGGCTTCGGACCAGATGCAGGAAGCGAACGCTTCGCTGGCCCCAGCGGGGCTCACCAACGAGGACGCGGCCAAGAGGCTCAATATCAAGAACGCAGCTGGCGAGACCACCACCAAGGCCGCCGCGGTTGCCCCGTCGGCGCCGCCGTCGCCCTAGCGCGCAGCACAAGCTCGCGACAATTAATGGCAGCTGCTGGCCTCAGGTGAAGATGATCATCAAGTCCGAGCTCGGCAAGCAGTCGCACATCATTTGCGCGCAGGAGTGCGACTTGTGCACAGAACATGGCATCGCGCAAGTTAGTCAATGGCGCCGTCGCGAAGGGCGGCAAGCTACATTTCAGGCAAGCGAATTCAGCTTCACGGGCACCCCGTCGGCTGGAGTTCATGTTCTGGTCGAAGTGGCTTCGATTTGGGGGTTCAGAGTTTGATGTTACCTCATGGCGCCCAGGATATTGTTCCTCAGGGGCGTCTCGGGGGGGGGGCGAGTGGACCTGCCTGGGCTTGGAGTAGCGGGCATCATATCGATGCACATGCAGGTCAGTGTCGGCCTGAATGAGACGAACCTAGACACCCTGGCGGCTGCGGCACCACTTCAGAATTAGTACCATACATCGTGATTGTATACAACGTGTTGGTACGATCGCGAGTGCTTCCGATGCCCCGACATGTCGTACTAAACGTACTCAGCCATCACTCGCCTAGTTCGCGCATGGTGAGTGTCTGGAGCACGTCTTGCCTGAACCACGCGCGCATGCAAGATGCCCTTTATCGCCGCGCCGCCCTGCCAGCATCAACACTCAGGCGCAAGATAGCTTCGCCGCCCCAGTCTCGCGCAGGCCGCAGCGCCTGCCGACCATGCCAGTCGCGGGCCCCGAGTTGCCCGAGCGCGAGTGGCGCGCGACCGAGGCATCAATGCAGGCTGCTGGGGCTATTCTCAATTGAAGCGTGGACCCGCCCTGCCCCAATTAGAAGCAAAGAGTTCTGATCAGGTATATTACTTCTTGGCCAGAGATTTGGAGGGCGCGATTGCCGAGCTGCTTCCTCAGCGCCCACCAGAGCCTCCAGAGCCTCGCAATGGGCGCGCGAACTGGGGTCCTAGATCCCGAGCTAGGCTTAGAGGCTCTGGACAAGGTCTTGAACCACCGCACTAAGCTGATTGATGAGGAGATCGATCTGAAGAGGAAAAAAAAACGAGGCCTCTCGGGCCTGGCGGGGACGGTCCCAAGTAGGCACCCAAGGTGATGATGGCTGGCTCACAAGTGGGCTCAGTCCCTGGAATCATGGGCTCCTCAAGCTGCTCCCTGGAAGGCCCATGGGGTGGGCGCCCCTTCCAGGGTTCTCGAACACGAAGCAGAATGGCTTAGCCAACTCTGGGACGCCGCGGACGTCAGACCCCAGCGCGAGGTGCCGCCAGGGCCCCGAGAGCCCAAACTGACACGATAGGGCCCCAGCTGTTGATAGACGCCGCCAAGCAGTTCCCCCACGCGACGGCCTCGACGCGGGGCGCTTCCACCCCGAGCATTCCCAGAGCCCGTCGTTCGAACAGGCCAGCCTCGCCCGCCGCTTTTTGCACGTGGTCGAGCCCACGGGCGCGATGCAGAAGCAGTTGCAGGCAGTGGCCTCGGCGCGGACCGCCAAGCGAAACAAAAGCAAGACCGCCCATGCCCTGACCCAGTTCAAGGGAATCGGGTCAAACTTCATCAAGGGGAAGCCAGGCAATTTGAATCCGTGCACCGACGTAGCTTCCTTGCCCACCAGGCGGGCAAGAGCATCACGGAAGTTGTTTTTTTCGCCAGAGCCCCGAGGCCGAGAATGGAGTGACTCGCGACGGGTCTCCGCATACAGGAGCTGCGTTGTGGGACCCCAGCAACTACTACGAGTTCACGCTGACAGAGAGGGCCCACTCCACAGGCTTGAGCAGCAAGATCTTAAAGTTGATGTTGTGATTTTAACGCAGTACAGCAGTCAGCGCCTGGTCGCCACCAGAGATTTAGTGCGACTAGTCAACCATCCAACTCAAGGCATTGCAGATGGCTGCGGATGGGCCACCTTTTTGGCGCAAATCTATAGCATGGGCCGTCTGGGCGACTGGGGCAGAGGGAACCCGAGGGCACTGATCGACGACCTCTTCCTGGGACTGCAGCATCAAAACCACGACATCGCGGTGCGCAAGCTGCGACGCTCGGCGGGGAGGCTGGCAGCAATTGCCCAGGACGGTTCCGAATGCAAGCTCGCCTTGCAAAGTCCAGGCCATCTCGGGCCCTCGGCTCCGACGGATGATCAGGGCAGTCATTGGGAAATACGCGGGCCCAGAAGACTCGCGCGGCGCCGCCAAACTCGGCATCGACAGTTCTGCGGGGGCCTCGAGGATTCGAGGAAGCAGGCGCTTGGTCAAGGCAACTCTCTACAGACGGTTCGTTCGCCATCGAAACCGTCGGCGTCGGATTCGGGCCATCGAGATAGCTGGAGGGGGCGCGCAGAGGCTCCGGAAGACAGGCCTCCAGCAGGCCATCGCCTGCCGAAGTTGCGGGAGTTGATCACGCCGAGCTTCGGAATCTTCAAACCGAGCGCCTTCGGACAGAGGGCCCCCGATGTGCTACGAGAAATAGGACATCAAGCTTGGCAGTGCCTGGAGACCCCTCGCCGCGCGCAGGTTCAGGACCAGCGCTCGCGCGGTCGGCGATGATTTGGCGCGCAGCCACCCAGCCATCACACCCTCGCGAACTACTTGAGTTGAAGGACCTGGCCGAACCTATCCTCGCCCCCCCTCCCTCCGAATGGTCTGCGGAGCGAGGCCCCTTCGGGGCCGCCTGCGTGCCCCTCGAGCGGATCGGTTGGAGCTTTGCTTCGGCTTTGGAGCTGCAGGACGAGAACGGGTTAATAGACCCGCTCACTACTTGCACGCCAAAGATGCTGGCCCAGAACATGCAGGATGTCTGGGACAGGCTCAACCTACAAAAAGCCGCCCTGGAACTAGGATACCCCCAGGAGATCCTCGATGCTTCAATAGCTCGAGCCCTCATAGACAGCAGAGGTTTCACTAAGAAGAACAGATCCACGCTTGTCTGCTCTCTCTCTCTCTCTCTCTCTCTCTCTCTCTCTCTCTCTCTTTTTTTCTCAGTGTATCTGGACACAGTCTAGATTGCGCGCAGCAGGCTACGAAGTTGACGACAAATGTCAGCGCGGCGCTGCGCAGGACACTTTTATATACCGACTGCTGGAATGCAGCGCTTCAGCCAGCCCGCGCGACGAACTAGACTTCACTTCGGACGAGCTTGATAATATTAGTAATATAGCAGACCAGGTCCTGGCTTTCGGTTTTCAGCTTTCACCTAAATTCGTTTCGGGGGCTCCTGCTGGATTTGGCTACGACCACGCGGACTTTTGGAATCGGGGCCCTTCCCTCTCGCCGCAGGAAGCTTTCGTTGACGAAGTTTACACGGGCGGCTCCTGCTTTAAACCAAGGGCGAAATGTTGTAACATGGCCGGTTGGGCGATGGTGGCCATATATGGCCACGGAGACGTCTCGGCTGATATGACAGGGCGCGTGGGCAACCTCACTCCCCCCACCTCCCCCGCTGCTGAGCACTGCGCCACGCGCCCAGTGCTCAGCAGCGGGGGATGTGGGGGGAGGGGGGGGAGGAGAACGAGGAGGAGGAGGAGGGGGAGGAGGAGGAGGAGAAGGAGGAGAAGGAGGAGGGACTGCAGCAGGGGCGGCCAGGCAAGGGAAGGGAAGAGGAAGAGCTGCCAGGGGGGCTAAGGTGGTCGAAAAATTCACGGGGGGCGTCGGCGTCGACGTCGCGGGGGCGGGGGCGTGGGCCGTGGGATGGGCAAGGGCGGTCGTCGTCGTGCGGCTCTTGTGGTGGTGGCGAAGGTGGTGGCCGCGGTGGTTGGTGGTGGCCGCCGTGTCGTCGTTTGGCCCCTGTCCTGGTCGTAGTGCTGGTGGTTGCCGCGGCGACTGTCGCGCTGGCGTTGGTCGTTGTCGCGGGGGCTTAGCGCCCGAGCGCGCTCAACAACATCTCACCGCTGCCTCTTTCGAGGGTCCTGCTGATCAGCCGCCAAAGGCCGCCCGGCAGCTCGGAACGGTCGGCGTCGTCTAAACTGGCTCCGTAACTGCGGACAAAGCTGGCTGCTTCGTCGCTGGGCCGGCCCCCCGTCTCGAAGACAAGGGGGACCAGTTCTCCTCCGTGCGGAGGGTAGCGCTCTCGCTTCTGTATCACCGCCCGCGCGGCCGCCAGCCCGTCTCTCTCGACCCGGGCACGCCTGCGTGGAGCGTAAGTTGAGTGTGCGCAGGTGGATGCTCCAGTCGATGAAGATCTGGCGGCCGCTGGCTGGGTCGTTGGTGGGAAAGTCGAGCACTGCCTGTTGGAGTTCGCCCGTGCGGGGGCAGCGGCGGTCCCAGGCCGGGACCGCAGCAGTTTCTCCCTGTTGGCCGCGGAAGTAGCTTCGCCCCAGTGCCCGTGCAGCTTGGGCGCAGGTTCTGCGGCGCAGCCTACCCAGTCGAAGGGCGACTGGAGAGCGTCGGCCGCCCTGAGCGTTGCCTCCGCCTGTTCGAACGTCCGCCGCGTCCGCGGGCAGCGGGCCCGAAATTCCTCCAGCGAGTAGGCCCCGAACCAAGCCATGACGTCGTGGAGCAGGAGAGCCCAGCTGGCGGCGTAGGCGGCGGGGGCCGTCTGGGTGGCCGAAGGGAAAGCGCACCCGCCGTCGGCAAGTCGCAGGGTGGCTTGGAGGCGCTGTCGGGCGTCCAAGGGTCCGCCAGCGAGATGCTCGAGGCAGCCGAACAGGACGCCACCCCCCCCACCCCTCCCTCCCTCCCTCCCTCCCCCCCTCCCTCCCTCCCTCCCTTCCCCCGTCCCTCCGTCCCTCCTCCCCCTCCTCCTCCGAGCGGTCCCGGGACACCCCCAGCGGCCGGGCGGCGGCCTCGTAGCTGCACCCCAGCGGCGACGGCGAGGGCGGCGTGGGCCGCTGGGGCGGCGAGGACGTGCAGCAGCACGAAGAGCTGCATCACCCGCGCGCCCAGCTTGTGGCGGCGCGGGGGGGAAGAGGGACGAGGGAGGAGGAGGGGAAGGAGGGGGAGGAGGAAGGGGAGGAGACAGGGGAGGACGAGGGACGGAGGGAGGAGGGAGGAGGGAGGAGGGAGGAGGAGGTGGAGGAAGAGAAGGAGGCGGAGGGAGGAGGAGGGAGCCATGGATCCTGGCGTCACAATTCTCCACAATGGGCGAGTTTGCCTTGGTGTGGGCCCTGGGACCATCACACATCGATCCAGATCGAAAAATGAAACAGAAAGACAGGGTCTGCGGCTCCAGCCGAGTTTTTGTTCACGATGCTGCATTGATGTCAGACCCTTCGCATCTAGAAAAAACGCGAACGATGATGCTATTCTCTATGCTCGCCTCTGGGGGCGCTGTCGGGCACTCGGGACGGTCAAACAACGACTCGTGATTACTCCGACGATAGGACCCCACATGATAATCTTCCAAACTAATCTAGGAGTGATCCTTATCGTCGTCCTTGCGACTACGGAGGCTATCTTCCTATCTGGTATCTGCTGATCCCTGCTGACGTGTACAAGCTTGATTGAGAATGGCCGCCTCGGACTACCAAGGACGCTCGTCTAAGGGACGAGGCTCCCGCTGAAGACTGTCTCAAGATTCAGACTCCTAGGTGTCACCAGACCTGTGTTTTGTTCAAGGCATTCCGATGGCAACCTCGGATTAAAAACATAAAGCGGGGAGCCCGTAGGAAGGGGGCTCCCGCTAGAGACTTCCTCTCGATTCACTTACAAACGAGCGCCCGAGGCATCCTTTTACTTTGCGCAAGAACAAGGCTCCCGCTAACGACTTCCTGGGGATTCAGGCTCCCGGCATCCTGGTGGCCACCTCGGATTACCAACATGAGACCAGGACGTCAAAGGGAGGGGGCTCCAACTCGAGATTTCATCGCGATTCACTCGCAAACGAGTGAGCGCCCGAGACATCGTCTCAGGTTGCTCAAGAGCCAGGATTCCGCTCGAGACTTCCTCGCGATTCAGGCTCCTTGGTGTCACCAAACCTATGCTTTTGTCCATGGTTTCTCGATGGCCGCTTTGGATTTCCAACGTGAGGTGGGGGCCCCTTTGGGAAGGCACCCGTTCGAGCCTTCCACACGATTTACTCAGAGGCTAGTTTGCTCAGAACGAGGCTCCCGCTCGAGACTTATGAGGGATTCTGGCTCCCCAGATGGCCGCCCCGGATGACAAGCATAAGGTAGGAACCCCATAGGCAAAAACTCCCGCTCGAGACTCCCTCGCGGTTCACCCACAAACGAGTCCCGCAACATCCTCCCAGGTCGCCCAGGAACGAGGCTCCCGCTCGAGACTTCATCGCAAGCTCTCAGGTGTCACCAAGCCTGTGCGCCGTGCGTTATGATGGCAACCTTGGATTACCAGCATGATCTGCGGACCCCGCACTGAGAGGTTCCCGCTCGAAACGTCCTCGCAGTTGACTCACAAACGAAGCACTAGCTCGAGACTTCCTCGAGATTCAGGCCCCCAGTTGTCACCAAACCCGTTTTTAACAGGGTATTCCGATGGCCGCCTCGGATGTCAACATGATCTGCAGGCCTCATAAGGAGGGGGTTCCCGCTCGAGATATCCTCGGGGTTCCGGCTCCCAGGTGTCACCAAGCCTATGGTTTCGCTTAGTTTCCCAATGGCCGCCTCGGATTGCAAACATGTTTTGCGGGCCCCAGAGGGAGGGCGCTACCGCTAGAGACTTCCTCGCAAATCACTCACAGTCAAGGCTCCCGCTCGAGACTCCTCGCGACTCAAGTTCCCAAGGGTCACCCAACATATACGTTGAACCAAGTATTTCGATGGCGGCCTCGGAATACAAAGATGATCTGCGGTGCGGGTCCCACAGGGAGGGTGGTCCAGCCCGAGAATTCCTCAAATTCATTCACAAATGGAGCTATTGCTCGAGAATTCCTCGGGATGCAGACTCCCAGGTGTCGCCAAACATTTTTCGTCAGCGGCGAGGCGGCGAACTCCGCTCCAGCGAGAAGCTAGGAAGGGTCACTAACTAGCGAATTGGCCGGCGGGCAAAGAAGGGGGGGGACGGCCAAGGAAGAATGGACGCTCAGACGTCGAAGAGTTCGACGATGAGCAGCCGGGAGGGGGCAGCAGCAGCCAGGCGCGCAAGGCCAGAGCGCGGTGGGCGGCCGTGGCAAACCACGGTGGCAAGGGTGGCGGGAGGGCGGCTGCCAGCAGCTGGAGCTGGCGGGCGGGCGCAGCGGGACACCACGAACGGCAGAGGTACCGCGGCGCGCCGAGGAGTAGGCACAGCACTAAGTCGTGCGGAGGCAGGAGCAACGCAGCCATATGGCTGGCAGTGACAAGGGTATTGCGGCGTGACCGCCCAAGGGCGCGGCAGGTGGCCAAGGGGGTCGGGAGAGGTGGGGCAGGAGGCGGCGGGCGAAGCGTCCCAGGCGCCCGCAGGCGGCGGGGCAGGTGTCACCAAACATGGAAGTTCACAATCATTTCCGATGACCGCCTCGGAAGGCCAACATGACCTGCGGGCCCCAGAGGGAGGGGCTCCCGCTCGAGATTTCCTCGCATTTCACTCACAGACGAGACTCCCGCTCGAGACTTCCTCGCAACTCAAGCTCCCAGGTGTCACCAAACCTGTGTTTGTACAGTGTTTTCAGATGGCCACAGCAGGTTACCAGCATGATCTGCGACCCTTCTGGGAGGGGGGATGGCCGCTCGAGACTTCAGCGCAAATCACTTACACATGAGGCTTCTGCTCGAGACTTCCTCTTTCTCCGTATGAATTCGCCGGCCCAACGGGCCAGAGGCGTGCTAAGATCTCCGGTAACTGCTCAACAATATTTCTAGTTCGCGCGCGCGGGGCGGGCCCTGGGGGTCCCCGGACGAGAAGTACCCCGGCAAGGTCCCGGCAAGGTCCCAGCAGACTCCCGGCAAGGTCCCGGCAGACTCCCGGCAGACTCCCGGCAAGGTCCCTTTTCGGAGCCCAGGAGGGCTCCAAACGGTCCAAGAGAGGCCCGAGAAGCCCTCCAGACGGTCCAAGAGAGCCGGGAGACGCCGAAATATTACTCCGAAACGCCTACGATGGCCTCAAGACGGCCCAACAGGCCTTCAAGACGCCCCAAGAGGTCCCTAAGCGGCGCCCCAAGAGGGCTCCCACAAGCAAAAACCGTCCCATTCCCTTCGGAAAACGTGCATTTTTAACATATCCGCCTCTTCGTCTTTCACACCTTTCAAGGCGGTCCAAGAGGCCCCCAAAATCACCCCAAGACGGCCCGAGAGACCCTCAAGACCGCTCAAAGACGGCCCAAGAGCGCTCCAAGAAGGCCCCAGAAACCCTCAAGAACTCTTTTTCGGAGCCCAGGAGGGCTCCAAATCGGTCCAAGAGGGGCCCGAGAAGACCTCCAAACGGTCCAAGAGAGCCGGGAGACGCCGAAATATCACTCCCAAACGCCTACGATGGCCTCAAGACGGCCCAACAGGCCTTCAAGACGCTCCAAGAGGTCCCTAAGAGGTCCCTAGGCGGCGTCCCAAGAGGGCTCCCGCAAGCAAAAATCGTCTCATTCCCTTCGGAAAGCGTGCATTTTTAACATATCCGCCTCGTCGTCTTTCACACCTTTCAAGGCGGTCCAAGAGGCCCCCAAGATCACCCCAAGACGGCCCGAGAGACCCTCAAGACCGCTCAAAGACGGCCCAAGAGCGCTCCAAGAAGGCCCAAGAAACCCTCAAGACGGTCCAAGAGGCCCCAAGACGGCCCCATGACTGAGGTCCACAGGGGCAACCTGAACGGAAATGTTGAGCCTCCCGCCCAAACACGCCCCCGAAATGCCCCTACAAGCCCCCAAGTAGCCCCACGAAGCCCCCAAGAGAGCCCCGAGAGGCCCCCAACAGGCCGCAAGAAAGCCCCAATATGCCCACAAGACCCCCAGGAAGCTCCCAGGAGGCCCCCAAGAGGCCAGGCAGACCCCCCCCCCAAGAGACCACCAAGAGGGCCCACCCAGAGCCATCCACGAGGCCTCCCAAAGTTCCCAAGAAGCTCCCACGAAGCTTCCAAGGGCTCCCAAGACCCCACGAGGCCTCCAAGAGCTCCCAAGAAGCTTCCCATAAGCCTCCACGGCTCCCAGGAGGGTCACAAGTACTCCTCCTGAGAAGCTCCTTAATGCCCCCAGAGGAGACTCCCAGAAGCATCCATGAGCTCTCCGAGATGCCCCCTCCCCAGATCCCCAACACTCAAGTTTTCTCGCGTCCCTCACCCTTGGATCCTTCACTGCGTCTTCCTCCAATTTCGATTGGATGAGGATGAGCTTGGGATGGTCCTGGAAATGTGTAGGGGGCTCTGGAGGTCAGCGTGAATTCTGAGAGGTTGTCGGTTGCGTGTCTTCTGTAAGCACAACCAACAATATGAATAATGGAAAGACCGCACACGCATCACAGATCCCCAAACGGCCCACACGCGCATGCATTCGGCAACGTGTATGGTGTGGGGTGTCAAGCACGACTGGCCCCATCCTCCTCGAAGTGGTCGCCCTCATCATCCTCCGCCTCCACCTCCTTCTATCCGCCCCTCCCTCCCTCATATCCCTGCCCCACCTCCCTCTCCTCCATTTTCTCTTCTTCCTCCTCAGATTTCCTCCCAAAGTGGGGCGGGGCGGACCCGGGGCGAACCCTCAGGAACCCCGACGACATACAGGAATTCCTGCAAAGCTCCGAGGAGGAGGAGGAGGAGGAGGAGGAGGAGGAGGAGGGGCAGGGGGAGGGGGAGGAGGAGCAGCAGCAGCAGCATCAACCGAACGGCACACGAGACGCCCGAACGGCCCAAGAGAGCCCCAAGAGGGCCCCAAGAGGGACCCAAGAGAGGGAACACGAACCGACAGTTCGAGACTTCCGCCCCAAGCAACCCCCATGAGGCCCCAAGAGGCCCGCAAGAGACCCCAAGAGGCCTAAACAGAAGCCCCAAGAAGCCCCCCGACGGCCCCCAAGAGCCCTCAAAACTGCCTC